CCCAATTTTATGTCTTTTCAAATGACTTGCCTTTACTGATGGGTTGTCACTAATCCTATTTCAATAGATCTAGTGCTCAGCATGCAAATATCAGTACAGTTACTTCTTCAGCACAAAATAAAAATTATAACATATAATGGTTCATCATATACAAGTAGTTAATTCAAAATATTGTTTTCCTTTTTTTTTCTTTCTAACACCTATGCCAAACATGTTAGGCAGTTAAATAAGTTTTGAAGTACAGTCTGAAGGCAAAGTTCTGACTCAAACAGTGCTTTGAGCACTTTTGTTTCCAGAGCACTCCTCCCAAAGCAGCTGCAGCAGCCCTGGGGAAGCAGGCTGGTGCCTGGGCTATATCTGTGCCTGTCACCTGCTATTGCAGCACATGATCAGGCACCAACACCTCCTCTGCTCCCAGCAGGCAGCCCCTCTGAGCCCGGGCTGCCTACAGGCACCGCCTGCCTGCCTGTGTGCACACAGCCTGGGGAGCGGTTCTGCAGCAGCCCTGGGCCATCAGCCCGGCCCGCGCTCACTGTGGCTGTGAGAGCACTGGGACAAACAAGCACCTCCTGGGAGATACACAGAGAGCAGCAGCACAGGAAATTTCCTTCCAGGGAGACCCACAGGATTAGGCTGACATTTTTCCAGCAGAGAGGGCACCTGGAGCGGGTGCTGTGGCCTGAGCACTGCTCTGGGAGCTGTGTGGCCCTGCAAGACAAAGACAATTCTGTGATCTCTGCCAGCACGACCACCAGCACACGAGTTGTTGTACAGCTACAGCGAGGCCGGGTTTTTGTTTGGCAAAGCGCAGCCAGGCAGACAGTTGGGGGTGATACACATTTCAGACACCTGCATTTGTCACCCCCATATACTGGCCATCATTTCACTCCTCTTTCCCAAGTATCCTCTGTAGATAATGGACAGGGATAGACAGTATGTTAGATCCTTTTCTGATGGAATAAGCAGCTCTTGAGTTCCTATTAACTATTCTTCTTCAAGAGATAAGGGATCATGAAAGCTGGTTGACAGGAACCACCTATTTGCACTGCCATTATTCTAAAACCTTGAGTTTCCCAGGAACCCCAGAATTCATGGCTTTTATGTCATGTAACCATTAATGCTAATTTCCTAAGAGGGCTGTTAGATGCCACATCTATGCTTTCTACAAGAAAAACGAAAAAAAAAATTGGGGGAGGCTAGAAAAGAAAGCAATTTATTTTGGAAAGAGAAAAAAAAAGTTATTTTGTTTGGCCATGGAAATTACTCTTTCACTGCTATTTCCTTTTCTAAATGCAGTAGGAGAGTTTGGATGGAAATCTCACCAAGGCATCTCCAGCTTTTTCACAGTGTAGCCTATGGGATCCTAATCTTTCCCTGCCCTTCCCAGTAGGCAGAAAACACAATCAGAAAATTCAGTAGATGAATAGTCAGGCACAAGTGATTCCAGAGGCTGGAGGCTGCAGCCATGCTACCTGCTCTTCCAAAACATCATCCCTTCTCCTGAAGGCCTCTGGAAGCATAACATGTTCCTTTTACATGTTGATGTGTTTTGGGAGCATGTATCTTTTAAGAGCAAAAGGATATTTCTAATATCAGCCATTTGTCCTGCAGCATTATCATTTCAAAAACTTGTTTCCACATTTAAATGATAACTTTGATTCCACAGTTGCCACACTTTGGTTCCTATTGAATATCTTGTCCCACAAAATTGTCACTGCAAAACTCTGTTGAAAGACTTAAATTAACAAATCTGAGGAAGCAGAAAACCACAGCTGCAACAGCTCTGATACTTTGCTTTCATCTACTTGTATTGTATTCTCTGTCCTTCTCTAAACACATTGCTTGTATTGAAGCTTCTTCTGCAGATTAATTAGCAAAGTAATGAGTATGTTTTATCCATTCTTCCTCCCTCCCCATCCTCAGGGTATATACAGACATTGGCCGGCTCACTCTTGAAAATTATACACTTTGTGCTGTTATTTATGAAGGTCAGATTAATTAAGTATTGCTTTATGTATAACTGCAGTTTGGAGTGGTGTTATGATGTTTATGTTAGCATTCAACTTCCAGCTCCACAGTCATTGAGAAAACAGTTCTATGGTAAACAATTCCCTTGTGCCAGGAATGCATTTCCTCCGTGAATGAGGTCATGTGAGATGGATGCAAACCAGGTAACTCGGGGAGGGCAGATTTCAGTTTCCATTGGCATTATTTAAAATAATCAAAAAGATTGCTGGGAAATTCATTGGTAACTTGTATGGAGTTCACAAGGTCTTCCCCTTTGAATGCCTTTCTCAGACAGAAGTCAACGCCACTTTACAATGCAGAGAGCAAAACAAGAGCAAACATTATCACAGCTGCACTGTCATTCCCAAGGCTGCTAAAACGGCCTCTTAGCCAGAAGAAAAAAGCAGTATGTTATTTTCCAAGAAATCTACTACAAGAGAAATTCCCCATTAGGAAGCTGTGAACATTTAACTGTGACTGACCAGGGCAATATCACAAATTCAAGCATTCTAAAGGTTCCCCTACCAATGTTTAACCTTCATTTTACTGCGAGCTTAGTGCAGATGATTTTTGCACTCATGTCCTCCCCTCACCTTGATCTCGAGAGTTATATGGTGAAATACAGATTTACTTCTGGCTGCTTTGCTCTATCTCTATACTGCTGACATTTGAGCTTTGAAAGCTTCAATGTCTCTTGTGGTGGTGGTCTAGAAACAGTCTATAGTTATTATCTGACTAATCTCCTCTTTTGTGTCAATTTGATGTTGTTGGAAAGACAGCACATATGGACTGACCCATATGTAAAAGAGGAAATGAACATATTTGGTTGCTGCTTTTTCCTGTCCACATCCTATTTTGACTCCTGCTAACAACATAATTGACATGCTTTTCTTAGATGGATCACTAATCAGCTGCCATGGATGTCACCTTAGCAGCTAGCATTTTTTTTTATTATTCACAGTGTCTTCCTCTCACTTCCTTGTGCCTCCACCTCTGAAGCACTGCATCCAAAATGCCACCAAAGACATATTCCAGATCAATCCCATTTCAAGACTAATCCTTGGTTTTCTCATCCTTTTAGTGCATCAAATTCAGGTCCTTTGTTCTCACCCTAAAAACTGCATAATCCCTGCCCACAACTCTGTTTCCATTTCCACCTACTCACTCCTTCTAATCTCCTCCTCTACAATATTACTTTCAACGCCCTTCTGCACACCCTCTTGCCTAGGGGATTTTAGGTTTTCCTTTGTTTTATTTTGGTTTGGGGTTTTTTTTGGGGGGGAGGGGGAACTATTTTGTACAAGCTAATAACTGCATATTAACTAGTAAGAAAAAGTAATCTGAGTTTTTAAGTTACAAATAATTATAACTTAAATGAAAATATCCTAAATAAATATCTAAACGTCTAAGTCAAACATATGGAATTATTTTATTCAGGCTGCTCTGAGGTTTTTGTTTGTTTGTTTGAATATTTGTTCCAATGTTCTGCCTCAAAGCTGAAAACTGTGCTTTTATCTTCTTTTAATGTGAATAACATGAAAAACCTGTAGTTTCACTCAGCAGGGAACACCATGCTGAAAAAAATTTTGGATTTAGAAGAAGAGAGCAGCATGAGCTTCAACTGCAGCCAGCAGAAGAACCCAGGGGAGATCAACCACTGTGCAAACCAAGTCCCACAAACCTGCATCTGTTTTCACTGGAGCGATGATGTAAAAGAGGCTTTAAAACGCACTGTGATAAAGTCAGTCAATCATCTTGCATAAAGGGTTTATGTTTTCTACCTCACTGACACACGATATTTCCCATAGAAGGGAGAGCTCTCTGCCCTCATCCCATTCCGAGTGCACGTTGCAGGAACGTTCCGACACAACTCCACAATTTTCATCATGTCAATTGGTAACCTCAGGCAATGCAGTAACAAGTTGGTGTATGAACAGGTGCTTCATTCTCTGTATGAGAAGTCTGTGTAAAGACCTCGGAGCGACCTCTCAGTATCTGAAGGGAACCCGCAGGGAAGACAGAGAGGGATTCTTTCTCAAGATCTGTAGTGACAGGACAAAGGGGAAGGGGTACAAACTGAAAGAGGGGAAATTTGGGTTGGATATAAAGAAGTGCGCTAGAGCGGGGGTGCTGAGGCACCGGAACAGGCTGCCCAGAGCAGCTGTGGATGGCCCACGACCGGCAGCATTCAGGCTGGACGGGCCTTTGAGCGACCCGCTCTAGCGGAAGGTGTTCCTGCCCACGGCAGGAGGCTCTGTCGAGGTGATCTTTAGGGTCCCTTGGAACCCAAACCATTCTACGATTCTATGGTTAACCAACGTCAGGGGCTTTATCCCCTTTCCGTCCCCAGGCCGGCAGTTCCCTGCTCACGGACAGGGCATTCAGGGCGAGCTCCGAGCCCACGCCTCCGCGGCGAGCCGGCGCGCACCGCCCATGTCGGGGCGGGCGGCAGCGGCGAGCCCACGGGCCGGGCCCGCCCTCACGCTGCCCTGCCGCTGGCACCGCCGCCAAGGCCGGGCTCTCCTGACCGGGGCCGCTCCTCGGTGCCCCCGGGAGAGGCCGCTACGGGCAGGAACCGAGGGGGGCGGCCGCGCAGCGCCGCAAATGTCCCGTAGGGGGCGCTCCGCCGCGCCGGGAGCGGCTCCCGCTTCCCGCCGCCCTTTGCCTCCGTCCCTGACCCCGGCAGCGCCGCGGGCCCCAATCCTCGGGCCCGGCCCCGCCGCGCCGCCAACCCGCGCGCGCCCGCCCCCCGCCCGCCGGCCAATGGCGGCGCGGGCCCGCGCCCCGCCCCGGCAGCCAATAGAGCGGCGGAGCGGCCGGGCCCGGCCCCTCCTCCCGCGGCCGCCTCCTCCGCGCCGCGCTCGCTCCCGCTCCCGCCGCGGCAGCGCCGTCCCTGCCGGTCCCGCCGCGGCACGGGCAGCGGACGGGCGGCCCCGCGACCCCCGCGCCGCAGCGCCCGCCCGAGGGGCTCGGCCCCCCGCCCGCCCGCCCGCTGCCCCTCCTCCGCCGGCGCAGCCCAAGCCATGCTGCTCCTGGCCGCCGCCTTCATCGTGGCCTTCGTCCTCCTCCTCTACATGGTGTCGCCGCTTATCAGCCCCAAGTCGCTGAAGCTGCCCGGCGCGCATGTCGTGGTGAGTGCGGCGCCCCTCGGGAAGGGCACGGGCGGGGGTCCGCGGTCGCCGTCCCGCTCCGCCGCGGCAGGAGGCTGCGGGCGGGCGCTGCCGCTCGGCCTGGGCGCCGGGGGAGGCGGCGGGATGGCTCCCGAGCCGCCCGCCCTGCGCCGGGAAAGGGAAGGAACGAGGGAAGGAGGCCGCTGTCTCCGAGGTGGGGGTGCAGGATGGGGACAATGCCCCGCTGGCAGCCGGGGCTCTGGGCACGGGAATCCCGTGGCAGGTGCGGGGAAGGCGCTCGGCGGGGAAGGGAGGTTTGGGGACGCCCGGAGTGGGGCTGGCGGCCGGGCAGCGCCAGCCTTGGGTGCCCGCGGCTCCGAGAGGAAGCGTGGAAAGCTGGCGGTGGCACCCCGAGCTACCAAAACACCGGGAGCCACAAGTCCCGGGTGATAAGGAAATGACCTGTCCCGATGGCTCTGACAACCGCTGCGTGTCCCGGTTGGCTTAAGGCGATGGTCTGAGTCACCATCTTCCAATCTCAGCGCTGGCTTTTTGAGACATTCCTTTTGTATTCTCCAAAGACACCGGTTACCTCGAGTTTTCTTTTCTTTTAGCATCTCCCAGGGTAATGACGTGGTGTGTGTACACACACATAAACCAAAGTCCAAATCTGTTATCTCCTTGGTCTAAAAAACCAAGTCAGGTATGAGGAAATGGAAAAACCAATACAAAGGAAGTGGTCAGATGGCACTTGGGCGCCCTTTCATCTTTAAGCACATTGATATGGATGTCTGTGGGCAATATTTTGACAAGATGGTAGGAAGAAGTCTTTGGAAGAGCATACTGTTGAAAGAGTCCATAAGTAGTACATCGCTGGAAGTTATATGAATATGTGGCTTGGGAAGAGGGGGACGGAAGAAAGGGGAATACCACCCGTTTGCTTTTGGAGGCATTGCAAAATAGTGAATTTGGGCACATGACAGCAAATGAGTTAAGCGATTCAAAAGATTCAGGGTCCTTGAATCACCTTTCTTAGTTTATCTCCAAATCTCCAGGGTATGTTTTGTGTAGAGAAGCTGCAGCTTACTGTTTGTTTAAATTTACTGTAAGTGAGTAGTTTTGTTTTGGTTTTTTTCATTATTATCTTTTGGAGTTCCTCTTTGGAGGATGGAGGTGTCCCCAGAATGATTAAGATGTTTCCGAGTTGCAACAGTGCTCTGCAGTTGCTTTATGCAGTAGGTGTTAACTTGGGTGCTGTAACTGGCTTTACAGCATCATATTCTGTGAGGTGTGTTCAAGGTTGCATTAAGGTTCTTGGGTTATGGCTCTTTTCCTGTAGGAGTAATGATTATTAAGGCAAAGGTGAAGGAGACTTACACACTTTTGTGACTTCTGTGAAGAAATAGAATAGCAAACAAAAAGTGAAATGGATTTTGCTTGGTTGGTTTTGTTTATTTATATATGCAATGATTACATGGAGTTTTGTTGGTTCTGTGTAGTGATTAAACTCTTTAAAAGTAACTGTGCTCGCTCTTCCAATCAGAAGGATTCATTAAAACAAATTCACATTAAAAATGATGAGACTGTTCTTGTTGGAGAAGCCTTCCTGTAACCATTGCCGCTAATTAGCAGTTTTTGCTCAATTTAGTACTAGTAGAAGTCTGAAAAACAGTATTCCTGCAAGTCCTGTAAAATTAGGAGTTCAACTGGAAAACTGACTATATGAATGTATTGATGATGAAAAATCTTACAGAAGGGCTGTAAGATATATCCAACTTGATGATACAAATACAAATCTGCAGGCAAACAGTTTTATTGACGTCACCGCTTGTAGAACTGCTTGCTTTATTTTGACTTCAGTTATGCTCCTAAAGTGCTTATGCAAACGAATGAAATATGGAACAGTTGGATTGAAGGTCACTAGTTCTTAGATGTGTAGATGCTGTTAATAATACTGCACACTTGTACTTGTGGATTTCAGATTCACTAATGTCACGTGTAAGGAAAAGTATGGGATGATGGTAATGTAAATCAGAAATACTATTCAAGAAGACTTCCCATGTTGTGTGTGTAAAGTGAATTCTTTAATCGCATGGTGGGAGTGAGCAGTCTCTGCTACTGAAATGACTGAGAGACTTCATGAAAATATTTAAGGACCATAACATTATGTAAGGGTTTCTTTGAAGTCTTCTCACTGAAAAAGATCAAAATCTGTTTAAGTATCAGGCCTCAGTTAAATGCACTGTTGACATAAATAAAAGAATGACCTGCAAATTGTGTATATAGCTGGCTGAGCCCTTTCAACAGGGTGAGTGATTGTCATTGCACACTATAATTTTTCAAAATATGCCTGGATAAATTGCTTTACTGAAGCAGAAAAAGACAGTCTTCCCTAGAAACATTTCTTTCTACGGATCTGTTCAAAGTGCAGTGAAATCTGTTGCATTTCGGAAGGAAGGTCATTAGGCAATTTCAGAGGCTATTATATACCAGTTATTGAATTTTCAACTTAAGTCAGCATTCTTTTCACTTTTAATCCTTCAGAAAAATGATTTCTTTTTACTCCTAGCAGTTATGGTTAGGAGATGTCTGAGTTATGGCTGAATAACTTACTCTGGCTGCCATTTGGGATAGGAATTTGAAGCAGAAAACTTGAGGCTTTTTCCTTTGTCCTTTCCCACAGTCATTTGCGCGTTTGCGTGACAGAAGCCCTTGCTGTGTTAGACAAGATGTGGTTTCTGGAAAAATCATAGAATTATAAGAGCCCTTTTTTCTTAGAAAAGGAGTGCTATTCAGAGTGAGAGTCTAGAGAACTCCAGATTACTCATCGTCTAATCTTGTGGGTTCCTCACCCCATTCCCCCCGCCACCCCCATCCTTATTTGCTATGTATTTTCTTTACCCCGGCTAGCACCATTAAATGATAAGGGCTTTCTCTGCTCTTAAATTGGCTCAGGCATAAGGTTTAACTTATTTTAAATAAAATGCTTCTTAGATGCTTAATACTTTTTAACTTCTTGCGTGACTAGAGAAGCATTCTCAAAGAAAGGGTGTAAAAGTTATTTTTGTGCTGTAGCGATGCGGCTTCATGTGCTGAACTTCTTTGTGCTTTGGGATTCAGAAGGCAGTTTAATACATTTCTTATCTTGCCATTGGCTTTGTCTCCTTTGGCCTCAGGCTACAAACTAGTACATGTCATGGATTCTGTGAGAATAAGCTAGTATTTTGGTAGCTGGCTGTAACAGTAGACGGGAGTATGAAAATAGGCTAAGGCAGTCACCACTGCTGCATTTGCATCGAGCTCACTCAGACCACATTTAATTGTCCTTTGTCAGGGGTGTTACACCTGCTCTCTACACATGTTCTCTCTTCAGTTTCTCTACAAAAGTTCTTGAGTGATGTTTAAAAACTCCATGCTGAAATATGAACGGTGTTCTTCTCCCCTTGTTTCAGCCTTAATCTTTCTAAAATCAAGTTGAATTTCTGAGAAGAGCCCAAACCCCTGAGTTTGCATTCAGTGTTATGAATGCAGTTATCCAAGTTCGGAATAGCGATGGCAGGAAATGGAAAGATGTGACCTGCTTGGGACTGTCTTCCATTCAGTTTGACAAGGGCCCTTTTAATGTAGGTGCAGTTCAGGATGATGGTGCCAAACTCTCCTGCAGGTGGGTCGTCTCTAGTCCAGTAATTTCCCCACTTCTGTGCAGAACCCAGCCTGGTGACTGTGGTCAGCTGTCAGGAGGGCCCATCTTGGTGTCTCAGCACCGTCGTCGTTCCTGTGCTGGGAGCGATAAGATCTGTGGTTTGGACGCATCCCAGTGCTTCGGCAAGAGGTCATTTCGAGCCTAGTCAGACATGCTAACCACTTAGAGCCGCTCAAAGGCACGTTCCATTTCAGTAGCACCTTCTATCAGAGCACTGTCCCAAAGCATGAAGCCAGCTTGCATCCAGTTCTCAGTGAAAGTTACTATGTTCTATTGGAGATGCCATATCAAGTCTTGATCATTCCTGATGACAGTTCAGTTAATTTGGATTTGGACTGTCTCATCAAATGAAATGAATTTCCAATATCTCAAATTTGAAGATCTAATAAATCAATTCTCTGTACCTCACACCACTGTTTCCACTTATAAGGGGGAAATAAATCCTGTGACACTTAAAAATTGAACTCTGTTATCAGGGATCATAGCTCAACAAGTTGTAGCCAAGTACTTTTTGGCATACGTATTTTGGTACCTCTTATTTTTAAGCATGGAAACAGCTCAGTAACACTGCTCAAGTGTTGCATACTGAATATCTGAATTAATGCTAAGGTTTAATTGTGCCTTCTTGTCAAAATACTAATCTGTGATTGAGTTGCAGTGGCCACATTTTTATTTTTGGTCACTTTTCTGAGGCTGGGTTACAGTAAAATTTGAAAATGGGATCGGTGGCAATTCAAATGTCTGCAATTAACAAAATGCAGTAACAGTGTAGAACCATTAGCCACAAGGGTAAGTAATTGTAATAATGTTGTCTTTAGCAGAGTAGCTGTGTGCTCTTTTGTTACTTCTGAGCATGTTAGGAACTTACATACCTAACAGACCTCATGGATTTGCTTAGGTTAGCTTCATTATAGCACAAAGCAAACTTTTCACTGGTGTTGGAGATTTTATTTTTTGCTATTACAGTAGCACTCATGGTGAATGCTCCTTTAAAGATGTATTAGTAACAACCTCCCACGTGCTTGTTGCAACCTCCCACCTAAATGCTAAAGCTCCCAGCTAATTGATATTGCACTTTATCATCAACCAATCTGATATGAGCTCTGTTCTTGGGTGTGACTGTAAATAAAAACTTCCTTTTTCTGTTCCTTGCATGACTTATGACATTATCTTTCTGAAGTGAATGTTAGCGCTGTTTGACAAGCTGGAGGCTTGATGCCAATACCTTCACCTGCAGAGAATTCCTCAAGCACTGATGTAGTTGACCCATTCCTGATAGTCACCAGTTTGTGCTGGTAGTAGTCAGCTGTCTCACCAAAAATTGGAATTGGAGCAGTCTTCCATGCCCATTGATTAGTGCTGGTGTACCTGCTGCTGATCTGTGGAAGCATCTCACGTACTGTGGATCTGAGGTCTGCCTGAATGTATCAAACTATTTTAACCTTTTCAGCAATGTATTGAAATATTGCAATCTATTTTAAGAATTTCAGTGTATTTGTTTCTTCTGTCCCTAATGAATCATTAAATTAATTCTGTGGTTCTGCTGAAGTGACAAATCAATAATTGACACTCTCACTCTTGTGGATTTATTTACTCTGAAAGCTGTCGTTGTTGTTTCGTAATACTGCAGACAGGGTTTTGTATTTCTTGGAGTTACCCTCAAAGGTTTGGGTACTGAGAAGCTGATCTTGCAGAGTCAGTCAGAAGTTAATCTGAAGCAGTTCTCTCTAGTAACAGAGGAAGCCTAAAGTGCTGAAATTAGTCTTTGTGAGTGCTACGCCCATTCTTGGCCCATTTTCGGCTCAAGATGAGCCAGTCAGAAACTGTGGATTGTGTCGAAAATCTTTGCTGGGATTATTTTATTTGCACTAAGCTGTTTTTGAAGGCTAGTGGTAAAATACTCAAATGAAAGAAGAGTTTAGTGACTCATGGGAATGTACTTCTGACTCTTCTGACTTTACTGCCTCTGGGAGTGGAAAGAATTTTGAGGATAATGCGTTTCTGAAAACAAAACTGAGACATTACCTAATGAGAAGACAACACAAGGCTTTTGATAGGATGTGTAGTTAGAGATTGGGATCTTTGCTGGTACACTAATTAGCTCAATGCCTCCATTTTCTTAAAATGGAGGAGGTAGCCTTTCACTGGAGTCTTTGGAAAGGTTTTGATGAAGAGCAAAAGATGATGATTTCCAAAGAAATCTGAATTTCATCTTCTTCCAAACTCATTTAATCAATGTGTTTTTCTTTAAAATAACTGCTTCTAGGTATTTTGGTACAATATTTTCTCAGTATGAGTTTTAATATGCTGTTTAAGGAAAATTCTAATAACTTGGGTACATAAGGAAGATACCAGTGTCCTAGAACCAACAGCATTTGCAGACTGAGACTGATCCAAGTCGCCTAAAGATCAGGCAGACATTTTTATTTTAGTCAAAAAGAGAGGTCAGGATTGTCATCTACATCTTGTTTCACAGGCAGTTCATAAATAGGTTTATTGAGGGTAGTGAGAGAAGGTGGTAAGGTGACTTTCAGCTGTGTGTTGGTATGATTTGTCAGGGTACACTCCTGCAGCATATGATGCAGGACTGTAGCCATCAACCTGTGTTTGTCTAATATTAATGAAATATTAACTTCCTGTTTGCATATAAGACTATCCAGATGGTACAACTTGGAGGAAGAAGAAAAAGTTATCAAAGTTTAGGTGTTGGCATCCCCAGTAAACTGAAATAGCAGGATGGAATGGGGACAGTTCAAGTTTCTGACTGGGGGACTGAAAAATACACTACAAGGGGCAAATTGTTGAATTAATGGGATTTTTCCCTTAATAGGAAAGAAAGTGTTTTTTGTTTATGTTTGCATGATGACATCTTCAGAAAACAATCTGCAATCGCTGATTTTACAAGTAATTTCTACTGTGGCCAGGTCTGAGGGGACAGTATGTAATCGCAATGTCATGGCATTCATAGCGATTTCAGACTTTTAACAAGATGCTTTTAGAAGTAGCCTATGGAACATGTGAGAGCGCCCACATGGCAGTGGTCTAAGTGTGCCTGACAACAGAAATGACCAAAAACTGAGGTAAAACTGGTTTTAAGGTAGAAACAAAGGCTCATTGATCTGTTCAGATCTTATGTTTCATTCATACTCCATAAGTAAGCTAACTTCAGTGCGTCTCCTGTATTTCTGTCTCATTGGGTGATATTTTAACCTCAGTATGTTTTTGGAATTTTCATGTGATTTGACTCATACATATGTGAGAAGGGATGAGAATAGTGGACTAACACTGGTATTTTCAAACAACTTTCAGGTAACTGGAGGCTCCAGTGGAATTGGAAAATGCATTGCTATTGAATGCTATAAGCAAGGTGCTTTCATAACACTGATTGCAAGGGATGAGGTAAGTGTATGTGTAATTTTACTGGCTAAACTGTTCACAAAATCTGTATAGATGGGGAATAATTTTGGAATAGATGATTATTCATACTACTTCAGTGTATATTTTAAGGGGACCCTAAGCATTCCAAATTAATTCATTTGAATAGCAGAGGTGGCTGCCTTTTTAAGAAGCATAGCCCAACATGGAATTTGTGATTAGCTTGATTTAAAACTTCACCAGTGCTGTTGCTTTTGTTATTGGTATTTGTTATATCATTGTCTAGATTTGTGCCAGAGCACAAAATCAGGAAAACCCCTATACTGGTTAAAACTGTGGAATTTCCCTACAGAAAGTGACATGTGGGAGTTTAATCTTCTCTAAAATTCACAGAATGTACTGATGTCTAATCAGCATATTGTCATATTTTTTACTAGTGAAAAACTCTTCATAAGCTTTGAAAGGAAAAGCATTACTTTGTTGTTTTTTTTGTTCTTGTTTTTTAACTAAGAGGTATTCAGAATTTAATTGGAAATACTCTGTTTTCATAACAGGCTGTTGTTTTATTTGTTGCAAAATCCTAATTATTCTGGAAATCAACACATTTAATTTTTGGGGGGCCCTCAATCCCAGCTGATTTGATAATTTCCTTACACTTGAGAACTTACTTTACATAACCTTGAATGTAGCCAGAGTTAAGAGAATTTTTCTTGAAAGGATTATTACACTTTGAATTTACCGGATTTTTGGGATTTGATTATTTCATGCCAGTGATTATTCTGCAGGAAGGTTTATGTAATATCACATAAAATTAAAATAGAGCCAAAATAAAGGAGAAGAATCAATACCTACAGTTTCAGGTGCTCTCTGTAGCATGAAACAAAAGCATTAAATCTATGGAAGTCATTGGTGGCTTTAGAACACAAAGTGAAAAACAGAGAAGTGAGTTCTTGATAAATGTCATGTTTTCATGTCTTTGTAAGTCTTCAAAATGACAGTAAAATGTTCTCAACTATTTGAGGATAACTTTGGGGGGCTTTAGGGCTTAAGCCATATTGCAGTACTGAGGGCTGCTCTCAGAACTATGTTTCAGTTGTCTCTGTGTCCATTTCAGAACAAGCTGTTGCAGACCAAGAAGGAAATAGAAAAGTACTCTGTTAATGACAAGCAGGTAAGGTCACTGCCAAGAGGGGCTGTTGTGTGTTTTGTTTAAGACAGTGACTACAACACAGTTCACTGGTCCTGTATTTAAAGCAAAGCTGTTTGACAAAACTGAGTGAGGACTCAGTATTTGGATTCAGGAATACCACTCTGTTTACATGAGATGTTTTGAACTCTTGCTATATTTGATGTTGCCTAGTTAGTGCATTAGCCTGCTTTTCTTAGAAAAAGATGTCTTCATCTGTAGGTGTAGGATGCGTTTTTGGAGAGCTGCAATTTACTGTCACTTCATAAGCATTTTATTCTTTCAACTGAACTGGAAGAACAAATATTTTTTTTTCCTCAAATACCATGTTTTTTACAATTCATAAATACAGCATGTGTCTTGGAAAAGAAGTTTAGTTGCTTGTTCCCAGGTTTATTTCACTAGGTCATCCTTTTGTTCCTTTTCCTGACTGATTCCTGTACCAGTTACACAAGGTAAATTTGTGAAGTTCAGAGACTTCTAAACATAGAAGCTGCTTTGCTGCATAGATAATGCACTTGTGCATGAGGGCAATAGTTTAGAGCTTGCAGAAGTACTAACTTGGAATTGCTAAGCTTGCTGTGTTCAAAACATGCAAACTTGAGGTGAAATAGTAAAATAATTTTTTCTTACTACTAATAATGAAGGGGAGAGGGGAAATAGTACTGAAACTGTTAACATCTTTGATTTCTTGTGTTCCAGAACTTTGTTATCGTAAAAGTAAATTAGTAACTAAGTTCCTTTCATGATCACAAATAAATGCAATTCAGTTGTCCATAATTTTTATGGGCCCTCAGTCCCAGCTGATTTGATAATTTACTTATACTTGAGAACTTACTTTAAAGAATTGAATTGATAAACTAGATATTCTGTTGAAAAGAAGCAATGAAAAAAGCTGCATATTTGCTGGCACAAATGTTAGTATAGTAGCTGAAAATTATACAAAATTTTTAATGCCTCCATTTATAAGATAAGATAGACGCTTCCTTATATTTTTATCAAATGGCTCAAGCTGGTTTGGTTTTTTTTCTGTGCATGCTGCCTTACTCAGATCAACTTTGTTTGAAAATCTAAGCTATTTGAGGTGAGGAGAAGCTGCATTCTGTCCATTAAAAAAAATCCTGATAACCATTTTCTTTTAGCTGCTCTAGCAGTTTCCCAAGCTTAGCATTACAGTTAATCCCTTGTCAAACACTTTGTCAGGATGTTCTTGTTAAAATCTGTCCTAGCTTGATAGATGCTGACTTCTAAAAAGACTATTATTTGGTGCATGTACCTAGGAGTTTCAGTGAAAATCTCCAAAAGCACCTTCAAGGCTGAGCAAGCTCCAGTGTGGAGTGACTAGGACTTTTTTTGCAGAAGCAGTTTCAGGCTTGCAGCCAGGTTAAGCATTTGGCAGCAGAGGTGGTGGGCAGGCTGGCTCCTCTGTAGCTGCTGGGTTCTGGACGTGGTCTCAGGGAAGCCTGATTGATCTGAATGGAAAGAACAGAACTGGAGAAAGCAGGGAGTCTGGGGCAGAGCTGGCACTGGAACAACAGATCAAAAGCTGTAAAGTGACAGTAGATGAACAGAGGAGCTGTACAAAAGGATTACTGAAAGGCTGTAGAGAAAGGTGATGCCTGGTGTAAGTAACATACATTGACTGTAACCTTTAGTAGATCACAGAATCGTGGAATGGTTTGAGCTGGAAGGCACCCTAAAGATTGTCTAGTTCCAATTCTCCTGCTCTTGGCAGGGACACTTTCCATCAGACCAAATTGCTCAGAGCCCTATCCAACCTGGTCTGGAACACTTCCAGGGATGAGGAATCCACAGCTTCTCTAGGCAACCTGTACCAGTGCCTCCCAGTAAAGAATTCCTACCTAGTATCTAATCTAAACCTACTGTCTTTCAGTTTACAGCCATTTCCCCTTGTCCTATCATTACATGCCCCTCTTCTGCTTTCTTGTAGGCCCCCTTTAGATGCTGAAAGGCAGCTGAAAGGTTTGCCTGAAGCCTTTTCCATGCTGCACACCCCCTCTCTCAGCCTGTCTTCATAAGAGGGGTGCTCCAGCCCTCTGGTCATTTCTGTGGCCTCCAACAGGTCCATGTGCTTCCTGGGGCCTCAGAGCTGGATGCAGGGTTGCAGGTGGGGTGTCACCAGAGCAGAGGGGCAGAATCCCCTCCTTGCCCTGCTGCCCACACTGCTTTGGATGCAGCCCAGGACAGGTTTGGCTTTCTGGGCTGTGAGTGCCCATGGCTGGGTCATGTCCAGCCCCTCATCCACCAGCACCCCCAAGTTCCTCTCCCCAGGGCTGCTCTCAATCAGTTCCTCTCCCAGCCTGCATCAATGGAGGGGGAGGATTGCCCCAGTCCAGGTGCAATACCTGTACCTGGTCTTGTTGAACTTCATGAAATTCCCAAGAGCCCACTTCTCAAGCTTGTCCAGGTTCCTGTGGATGGCATCCTGTCCTTTGTGTGTGTCAGTTGCACCACCAAGCTTGGTCACCTGCAAGCTTCCTGCAGATCTCATTGTCTGTGTCCTTGAAGACACTGAGTGGTCCCATATCAAGAGGCAGAGATCCTCAGAAAAGATTACTGTTTTTTGAGCATGTACTGTCACTGTTCAGCTCTTGGATACATACTTGAAACCAAGCTGCATTGACAACCAGAGTCTGGCCAGTATGTTCCTTTAATGTTTCATGTTTGCCTGTGATTTAGAGTGCTGATGGTGCAGCCTCTCTGGATGTAGGTGTGTACTGCAACAAAATCCTTACCCTTAGAGTTTTTTTCCACTATTTTTTAAAATCCTTTTTCTAATCTAGAATATTCTCAGTTACTTTACTGGGGATTGAGTTGATCTTCTATTGGGAAAGGCATTATTAATGATCCAACATCATGCAATATTTAGAACAAAATGTGATGAGCAGGGCTGGGCATAAGACTGCTTCTGGTGTCCTAGACGTGGATCTATGGTCCATATTTTGGAGTAAAGGTAATTAGTATATGGCAGCAGAAAGAATGTATAATAATAGAAGCCAAGAGGTGAATTGTGCAACATGATAGTAGTCAGTAAAAGCTGTGGTAGTTCCCGAGTGTGTTGTTCACAGTGTAACTAATCTATGCAATCTGTGAAATTAACAAATTGCTCCAATTTCTGTAGAGAACTGTGATTTACTTCATCCCCTCACTGATCTTGGCAAAGACGTCCAAGTGATAATTCAGTGTTGCTTGCATTCAGCTGCTATTTTGTTCTTAAACTTATGAAAAGGATAAATGTTTCCAAAATGCAATAAATGCCTTAAGGGGATTCCTGCCAATAACTTGTGCCACAAGTTTACTCTGCTGTCCAACTACACACAGTGCTGGGAGGCAGGAATAGCCAACCTGCTGTACAGGAATGGCAGGCAGATGCTGTTTATGCATCTAAGAGGTGTCACAGTCTGACCAGGGGCAGGACTGACGAATGACTGGCTGCCAAAGCAGTTAGTTACACTGTGGTGAGCCTTTTTGTGTGTGTGTGTGTGTGTTTGCCCACATGCTCCATGATAATTGGTCATGAGCATACTTTTTAGAAACTACTAATGACTTTGTTTTATTTTATCTCTGACCTTTAAATTAATTTGAGCAAAGTAACAGGATAGAAGCTGGAACAAGAATACAGGAGTCCCTCCTGTTATTGCAATAGGAGATGACTTTTCAGTTCAAGATGAGGAATTGCCCCAGAGCTCTGTTGATGGCTTAGCAGAGAGAGTAGAGCTTATTTGTCAGTACATGGTGTTTGCAGCAGTCACAGTTTGGAAGTGGTAACCCAAGAGAAGCAGTGCTTTCTTTGGCCAGAAGTTCATTTGAAGGTGTTTGAAAACCTAGATTCTGAGACCATCTTGCTGAAAGTAGTCAGTAACTTTGAAGGAAAACAGGGCCTAACTTGCTGCAAAAAAACCATATCACTATCACTTCTTTTCCTTCATCCTGCCTGCCCACCCCTCCCTTCTGCTTCTTTCTTCCCTGGTTATTTTAATTTTTCTATATCTTTCAAACTAAACCCCTTAATGTCTGATTTTTCAGACAAGATGTAAATATGTACACATGCCTTCACTTTTTTAGATATTTATGACACTGTGCAATGAGTCAGTTTCTCCTAGAATTTTTATTTTCATTTTGTCCTTGAGATGTCCCAATTAAATATTACGCAACTAGGTTTACTACTCTTCTTTAAAAAAAGTCATGAAATATGGAGGTAGTGTGCATTGCAAGTACTAAAATGAGAGGGTTTTTAACACTTGCTTCCTAAATTTTGGAAAAGATTTTTTTTTTGCAGTGCTGGTGCTGCCATTTTAGGGTAACACTGCAACAATGCCTTGCTATGTGGTGGAAAAAACCAATTTTTTCTATAAAGATGAGCCTAAGCCATGCAGATGGTTTGTGTTATGTTTAGCTGATGAAAGTTAAACATATTGCTGGGGAATTTTGATTGTCTTAGTTAAAATAGCTTTTACTAAACTTCATGTAAATAACTCTGTCAGTAGTGTTTCTTAGTACAGTAAATTAGAAATTATACTTTGCACATGAGTCACTGCTTTGAAGATCATGAAGTGCTTATTTGTTCTTAATGTAATCTTTATTATACTAGAACCTGTGTGTGAGGGGGAGGAGCTTGGAGGTAGCAGAAACTGCTTTCTCCAGTGTGTAAGAAGTGCAGAATATCTTGTCAAAAAGACTTTTTTTGTGGAAAAGATATGGCATTGGGCTTGTTTCATTTTGAAAGGCTTTAAGTCAACAATTACTAGACTTAGTGTGTTGTGAAAATGTGCTTTCGCTTTTCTTTTCTAGGTTGTACTCTGTATTTCTGTTGATGTATCTAAAGACTATGAACAAGTAGAAAATGTTCTAAAACAGGTGAGAAAATAACTGATTCACCTACATGTCTTGAGAAGCCTATCTCTGTGTGTTGTATTTCTGTTGGAAATAGTTTCTTATTTGTATGGTGATATAGGAAGGCTTTTTCCTCGTAAAGAGTATCTTAACCTCTGTCCTCTTTTCCAGGCTCAGGAGAAGTTGGGGCCAGTTGACATGCTCGTAAACTGTGCAGGAACATCAGTTACAGGCAAATTTGAGGATATTGAAGTGAATTCTTTTGAAGTGAGTTAGCATACTTTATTTTATCATAAGATGATTTCTTATTTAACCATTCTAACAATTAGATTGTATTCCTGTGTCTGCAGACTTGAACAGTGCTACACTTGACTTGTGCTAGCTGTTAGAATCTCTTCAGATTTGCAAAGGTTGTCTCTAACTTCTCTCCTAATGATTTCATATAGTTTCACTTTTTTCTCGTGAAGATTTTTCAAAAATATTTTTAACCTGTTTAAGAAAAATCAGCTGTTATCAGTGTTCAGTTCTGAGATGCACATATTGTTTCAGCTTGAGAAGCTGCTGCTCTGATGAAAAGACAAAAAAGCCACCCTAAAACACCTGTATTTTGGTTACTTTTTGCCCACAGCCCTCAGGCCTCCATTCATCTACAGACAATGCTGAATCATCTGAAAATACTAAATGGGCATAATTTTATAATAATTTTGAATCATCCATTTTATTGCTTGTATAGGCTATCAGTTGTGTTTTATGTCTTGTAGAAAATGAAATTAAAGACTTCCCTCTATCCTGGCAAAGAATAAAATTTCTGAAACGTGTAGATACATAGCATTTTTCCTGTTTCCTGTTTTAGAAAGCTCTTTAAACTTTCAGTATGTTTTCATGCATCATGCATAAATGGATTGCTTCCTGGAGGCTGTTCAGGTTAGATTTTCCCTGAAATATTATTCTTTCTCCTTCAAGGCCATATGGTCCACAGTATTATCAGTATCCTGGATGCTGTTAAGACTTACAGGATTTCTTTTGGCTTGGAGTGCGATTTTTAGCTATAAAACAGTTTATGAAGCTGTAGAATCGAAAACAGTTGTTTCTTTTGCCAGAACAGATCTGGTGAACTTGATTGTTAAAGCAGACTGAAGTAGGGTGTTTTCCATAAATAAGACCAAACAGCTGGCTGAAGAATTCTGGCTCTGAGGCTCCAATATTGGTGTTGTTTGTACAGAGATTAATGGCAGTGAATTACCTGGGCAGTGTTTACCCAAGCCGAGCAGTAATCACTACCATGAAGGAGCGCAGAATGGGAAGGATTGTCTTTGTGTCGTCTCAGGCTGGCCAGCTAGGCCTGTTTGGATATACAGCTTATTCTCCCACCAAGTTTGCTCTTCGAGGGTTGGCTGAAGCCCTGCAAATGGAGGTATGTGTGCAATGGTTTTAAATAATTTTGGTTATAAACAATTTTGTTTTAACTCTCCTGTTTAGCACAGGGCATTTTCATTCAAACGGACTGGGGGGGTTTGTGTTGTGCAGCATTGCTAATATCTGTGTGTTATTTGCCCTCATTTGGCAGCAGTACAACCTTACTGCTCTGCATGGGTTGTAGAAACTAACCTGATTTCAGTTGCATAAGAGGGAATAGATTGAATCTGTTCCTAAAACTGAGTATGACCACATGTGCAGACATTTTTTTCATCTTTTATTTTAATTAAAAGGACTAGATTTTTAAGACTCTTGATTAAAAGCCTTCTTCATGGTTCTAAGTGCAAAATGGTATTGAAGATATCACATGGATGCATGAGATAGCCAGTTTGTTTGTGTCCATGGTAAGTGATATGTGAACCATATGAAACTGTAAAACTCCTAAGCTAGAATTTGAGGATTGTCCACTAAAACAAAAATTGGGTTTGCGGTTACTCACCCTTCTATATTTTCATATATATGAGCTTTTTATCCTGCAGTGATCTAAGCTTGTGTTTAAGACCAAAACCAGACGCTATTTTCATTTTTCAATGGAACAAGGTGGGTAAATACACTGTAGTAAGAGAGATAAAACTGATTTGAAAATTACTTTTGTCATTTTCCTGTCAAGAATGTGTATATGAGTAATTATGTGTTTATATGTGAAATGCCTTTGTCTAGTTCCAGACCCTTACATAGTCCCTGTCATATGCCTTGATCAGGATAAGAATGTGGGGTAAAACTGCCTCTAATCACTTCTGGTCTGCCAGATAGAACAGTGTGAATGCAGGGTCTTTCTTCAGACTGGTGGCAGATACTTTTCTGGAGACTGAATTATTCAAGACTAAAAATAGGGTGTTTATGGGCGTCTGGTGTGGTATTTCAGGAAGTACGTTCAATATAGAATGTTTCATAATAGAAATAAAAATGCTCGGTGTTTTACAACATTTTGCTTCATCGTAGCCCTCTGGATATTTTCATTAATTTTTTATTTTAGTTGTATTGTGGTACAGATTTGCATTGTAGCAGTTTGAATAGGATTGCACTAAGTAATGTAATTCTGTGACACATACATACAAATACATAAATAAATACAATCCTTGATCTAAGACCTTCCATTTTCCCTCACATTTTCCAATTATTTGTTGTCTCCTTAGACTTTGACCTCTTGCAAGTTTATACCGTGGGTTGGAAAGCCTTGAGACTTGAGTATACCTCTTAAAGATAACAAATTTGAATTTTACTTTTTTGTTGGTTTTTTTTCCTCAGTGAAAGCCTTTTTGGCCTTGTGTTTATAAATGTTGGGTACTGGTATTTGACAGTGGTTTAGTCTTCTTTTAGAAATTGAAATTGGTAAAATTATAGATCTAAACTACTTTAATATTCTTCCTAGGTGTCTTGAAAACCACCAAGATTCATCAAATAATTTGCAAAGTTTTTTAGGGAATTTTATTAGAAAAAGCACCACAATCACCTTTTTAAAATCTTTGCTGTTTTGTTTCTCAGTTGACAAAGCTGCAAGTCCTGAAATTGCTGAGTACTTAACCCTAGAAGCAATCTGAGTTGTTGCTTGCGGAACCTATTAATTACAAGAGAAATTGATGAAATTATAAGGGACATGTAAAAGCTGTCAGTATTAAGGTAACACTTAATGCTTTTGTAAAACACAGGTAAAACCGTACAATGTCTACGTAACGGTGGCCTACCCTCCAGATACTGATACTCCTGGCTTTGCAGAAGAAAGTAAAACAAAGGTAAATTGTCCTTCAATTTTTGAAATCAGTGTTTTTAAATCATAATAAGATTTTAAGAAGTACTCTTAAACACTTCGATTTTACCAGTATTTAACTATGCAGAGGTATATAGGTTGCAGGATAATTTTGTGTAGTTTCTTGTTCTGAGGCTTTAATACTTGCCTTTAAGATCTGAAACATTGCAGAGTATTCCTGCATGCAATCAGAATATTGCTGTGGGGTGGTAAACGCTAAAATCACTGTTTGTTTTGATATTAAAGCTTAATTAACCAAAAATAAAATTGCTGTTTTGCATCTTTGATAATGTGTGGCTGTTGTGATAGATGTGACAGATGGGAGCAAACCTCAGTTCCTTCAGTGGAGCCTGCAACCAGATCAAATTGTATGAATGCATGTAATGACCCAGTTCAGCAATGGCTGTTCTCTAGTATTGCAGTAGAAAGGAAACTCTCTGGCACTGTGTTCATAGTGGAAATGACAGTATTGCTTTTCAGAAGGATGTGTCAGCAGCAGGAGGCCTTTTTCATTTGGATTACCTTAAAAGTGAAAGTTTTGACCTTTAGTCACTTCTTGTTATTTGCCATGTCCATACATGTGAAGTATAATTCCAAAAATCACATTCAGGCCCCCTGTTCAGACTACAGCATCAGGTAACCAGAAAAAAGATCTCTTTATTTTTTATTTGCATACTGTGAGCTAGAAATCTGCTATCTAAGGGTATCATCTTTTCAACATGCAGCATCACGTACAGTTGGAAATTGAGTTTGAATTCCATTTTGTCTTTCACCCTTTGAATAGGAATCAGCAGGGATTGTATAACACAATTCTTACTTCATCATTTCTTGATACAGATATTCTGTATTAAATGTGCACTCCCACACATCCGCATAAAGTGCCAGAATTAGACATCTGCAGATACTTGTATAGCTTGCATATTCTCTAGGATTTTTAGCCTATTTCAGGGCACCAGCAGGCACCAGGAGAATGTACTGTTCATCTAAGATTTCTCTTTGAAAGAGATTGAGAGAGATTTATCTTATTTGTCAAAAAAGTCTGTTTTCTCTTTTAGAAGAGAATTATGCTTTGTTTTAGCCTACATGACCTCTTTGGATGACTTGCTCTTAGCATGATAGCGTACCTTAAATCTCTGCAATATTGCATTGCTCTGACATTTCAGATACTCATTTATTGTTGCATTTATTTAATACTACTGAAATAATATTAGTATTTAATACTAATTAGATCATATGCCTCTATCTTGCATCTCCTTATTTTTCTCTGTGATTATTTAATGTAGTGAAAGAAAATGTCAGGAGCTAGGATATAGCTTTCCTGTGTTTATTCAGTAAGCTTTTTTTTTTTTTTTGAGGTAGCTGCCTCACAAATGACAGCCATGCCTTGGCCAGCTGAGTAGCCAGATCAAGCATTTAATGGCTGATTTCTGCCTGCCTTGTTCCCAACATGTCATTAACTTTAGCTGTCACTCCTGAACAGCTGCTATTTTTTCCCCAGATCTAGAGTATTTGAATTACTCTTGATATCCCTGTAGCTCATTCAGATTCGTTTGATACTGGCCAATCAGCTCAAAAGTAAATGAGGGGCTGTGAAATGGAGATCTGATGACATGAGCCATATCACTGTAGGAATGCATGTAAAAAGTTTTTGTATGTGATTTGTGCTGGCAAAGGCACTGATGTGCCCCTGGCCACGCTTAAAATACACATAGTAAAAAAAATAAAATTCAGTGAGCTTGGTCAGTGAAATCAAAACTCATAATTCTACAACTATTGGGAAATAGGCCCTTTTCTATGAAATTTAATTACTGTAGTACTTTGAATTGATGATAAGAAAGCTGTAGTTGCTCAACTTTTCCCTAGAAGTGCTTTTAAAAAAAATAATAATCCCAGAATTAAACTAATCCCAGTATTACAGTAGGCCTGAAAAAAAAAAGCAAGCTGTTTTATAGGATCTTAAAACATTTCAGGCCCACCTTATGCTTAATTTCTGGCAAAAAATGTTAATGAACAAGTGTAAGTATTGAGGAAAAATAGTTAAAGTGTTGTGATAGCTTCTACTGAAAATAAAATACTTGTGGAAAAAACCTCATTTTCATGGTAGTAATAAAGTATATACAAAAAAGTACTACTCAAAAAAGTTGTCATTTCCCTTTGTAAAATTAGACTGTTATTTATGAACATGCTTATACCTGTGTTTAAATGGGTGTTTTAGGTGACACTTGCTAGCAGCAATGTCATCTGGGACAGAAGACTCAAAATTTGACCTTCATGTTTTTCTCTTCTGTGTGTTGTTAGTCAAACTTAAACTGGTGTTTTTCTATTAAAGCCCTTAGAGACGAAGCTGATTTCTGAAACCTCATCTGTTTGCCAAGCAGAACAAGTTGCCAGAGTTATAGTGAAAGATGCCATAGTAAGTAAATTGTGTTTTTGAGCATGTTCTGTGGTGAGGAGACTGGGACTGAGACTGTAAGATAATGGCTAAGCTAAATGCAAAAGCAATTAACACAAAACAGTTCTCTTAGGGTAGTTTGAACAAGAGCTGTTTTCTTTATTCCTTCTTTTGCCACTGTGCCTACAAACGATTTTATACAATCTCTCAGAAGTAAAAGGTTTCTGAAGTTGTACACAGACAGATTAAAATGATGCATCAGTATGATGCAATGTCTCAAAGATGGATTATGACTGACTTGAAAGCACTAAACTATTGACTTTTTATGTATCAAATACCATTTGTCTAACCTCAAAAGCTTGTTGTACTCTTATTTTTCTTGAAGATGAGCTCATATAAAACTAATTTTACAATAAAGGAAGGCAGTTGACCTTTTTTGGTTTTTAATATCTGAAGTATGTGATTTGAGTGATTAAAATACATTAAATGCTGTTCTTAGTGTATTGCCTTTCTGAGGATTTTTTTTTTTCAATGTTTTGTGCTAGGGAATTCCTGCATGCTTAATAAAGCACCTCAGAATAGAAGCAAACATGAAATTTCATGATCATAAAGCACACCCATTGAATCCTAAAATCTGCAATTACTTTGCAGTTCCAAATACTCTTGATCTTCAACATGGTTTACATCTACAGCAGGTGTTCAGTTGTGAGGTTTTTACAGTGTTTTCACAGATACAGCACATGAACACAAAATTATGTCTGATTTTGTTTTTAAAGCAAGTACTACCTCAACAGAGTGTTCTTGTCTGGTGATTGAGGAAAATTAATCTCCTCTCTCATCTTAAGCATCTGATATATTTATACCATACTTCCTACACTTGGGGTCGTAAATTAGTTCAGACATGGTCTTTATGCACTCTGGCCATCAGCAGAGAGACTGAAATAGAAACAAGAAGGTGTTTGTTTACTCTCAGTTGTGCATTGGGAAATAATCAGATCTAATAACCTCTACTACTTTGCATAGATTTATCCCTAACCCTGAATCAGGAACTCCACCTTTTCCTTTCACTTCCACATTCCACAGACTTAGTCCCACAATGTTTGAGAAAGTTGTCTGGCATAAAGTCAAATGAAAACAAATGAGAGGAGCCTGGGAGTAAGAGCTGTAGAACTGCAATTTTACTGTAAAGTAATTAAAGTTGTTTGGTTGTTTGGGGTTTCTTCCTGGTATCTTCCCCCTTTTCTCTGCTCTGAATTGCTTAGCAAGCTGCGTCTTGCAGTTAAAAATCCTTGATGTAGGTGAAAGAGAACCTGCTACCAAGCGTTTGAAATACACCCCCTTGCAAATCTCATGTGCTAAGCAAGCTAATTTTAACAAAAGGCAAGCTGTAGTTGTCATACAATTACAGTAGTGGTTGGTGATCTGATAGAGTTAGGGTATCTTATTTTCCATAGAAGTAAGCATGCCTCAAGAAGAAATTTACAGCCTTTATATCTTGTAAAAATCTGCAGTAATTTAGCACACTCTCTCTTAAGAGAAGTTAGCTTCCTTTTCCATTTTGAAATGAATGCCTTTTGGAATGTTGCTGTATAGCCCAAAATATTTTGGAGTATTTTGCTTCTTAATTGTGGCAATATTTTTTTACAATAAAATATTTGATGTTAGTGATATCAGTTATCTGTGTCCATCAAGAGTAGCTGTTGAAATAAGACACATCATGATTGGCCACAACTGGGAAAATTACTTTTTGTTTTCTTAATCCTTCCATCCAGCAAGGGAACTTCAACAGCTCAGTTGGATCAGATGGTTACATGCTGTCAATATTGACAAGTGGGATGTCACCAGTCACTTCTATTACTGAAGGTCTTCAGCAGGTAGGATTTGGGAAGTACCTGTTGTCATAATTTCTCATAGTTCAAAATAATTTCAGAATGTAGAACATGATGCAGAAATGGATTATCTTTTCATCAAATGGCTGTTAATGCTGTGGCAATTGGGTTTAGGATACTGCAGTAGTTTTTTCAAGCTGAAGCAGCAAGTTGGTGACTGAGCTCAGAGTATACACTGCTACTCAGTCCTGAACTGTTACATAGTTAGCTTGATAAGTTTGTTTTCTGAAGATTATATAACATGCCTGCCTAGAAATTGGTTTTTAAAAAAAATTTATGACTCAATAAGGTGCAATCTGGGATCCAAAATGAATTGAAAGCTGTTTCTCTCTGTTTCCAGGTTGTTTGCATGGGCATTTTTCGCATCATTGGCCTATTTTACCTAGGAAGTTTTGACAGCATAGTTCGTCGCTGCATGATGCAAAGGGAAAAATCTGAAAGTGCAGATAAAACTGAGTAATCTTTACTGTGAGTGGAAAGAAGAATGTCAAGCAGTCCTGGACAGCTTGCTGCTTAAGTGGGACTCAGTTTTGTTCCTGAAGGATATAGGCTGGAAGTACTTGCATGTGTGACAGAGGAGTCCCCTCAAAAGCTATGAAAGAAAAAACAAAAGTACAAATCCAGAAAATGCCAAACTATGCAAAAGTGTGAATGAGGATTAGATACCTTTTTTTTTTGGTGATTTGAGTTGGAAAGAATTTGGAGAGCGCGTAAGTGATCTGCAGAGTAGAATTTGAGAATGGACAATGTGCGGTAATTCTGGACAAATACTTAAGTTTTCTCACTTTGGTGCTTATGGATGAAATAAGTACCATGACAGACTGGGCTGAAGTAGATTGAGGTCCCCTGAACAAGCTGGTACCTTTTGCTAACGTTTTGGGACTGCTTTTGATTTAGAATGTTAACTTTTCCTTTGGCCAATCTACAGATCCTTCTGTCAATGACAGCTTTCCTTATTCTGTCCAACATACAACTGGAAACCTGAAGATCACAAATACATTTGTATGATCCAAGCTTTCTCAGTGTGGGAGTAATTAAAAAGTATGGTTTAATATGTGCATACTTTCTAAAGGGAGATGAAGAACCCGTTCCCACAGAGGAATGCTAGGAAATGTGGTCGGGTCTGTAGCTCTTCTGGCCTTTGAAGTTTGTTGTGAACAACAACAAAAAAAATCAAACCAGTATCAAGTGCGTCAGTTATAACTCAGCATTTTAAGCCATTGAAACAATGTAGAATTTTTACAGAGACCTAATCTGCCAGTTTTTGCTCTGGAAAGGGAAGTGGCTTAATGCTACTGTTATGCACATTAATTTCAAAGCTGCAAAGGATGAGCCAAACCAGTGGTTGATGATGGAATCAATTGTAATTAAAATGCCGGGCTCTTCCAGTAGCAGGAATGTAGCTTTTCAGGGCAGAGGGGTCAGCAGGGGGGAGAGGTGTGTGTCAGAATGGCCTTCCACACTGCATTTTATCACTGCACGGAAAAGCTTTCACATGAGAAATTACATCAAATACTCTCCTTATATGACCCACTTCTAATTTGTCTCATTTACATTATCTGAAACAAGGCTGCTCAATAACTGCTTCAGAATATACAGAACACAGTGGTTGTTTCTAATAAATCTCGTTTAACACTGAAAAAGCTTGATGCATAACAATGATGTTTTAAGGGTGCACTATGTATACAGTTTATTTAATGGACCACAATAGTATAAGTGCCTTGTGAGCTGCTTTTTTTTTCAAAAGCTGCATATTTTGTATTTGTTAGCACTGCTGTGTTTTCAATGCCATATTTCCATTTTCATTCAGTACTCTGAATCTAAAATTATGTGTAAAACCGGGCACTTTCACTTCTATGACAGTAATGTTTAACAACCAAAATAGGCAAAATTGATTGCTTCTGTTAAGAGATTCTCTATATCTATTTAAGAAGATGTATTCAATTAAACTGAGATAAAAATTAATAAGTGGTTAACTGGAAAACCTTAGAATGTAATTTATTGAGGCTGGTTTTTTTCCCTCTCTGAATTAGGTTGATCACTTTTCAAATTTCCTTCACATAGACTAAACTTGCTTTAATACCTGGTTATAAACATTTTTTTGGAGAGGATCACACTGGTGCTCTCATTTTAAGTGGTGAAAATTCATTAGATTGCAAATGTTGAGGCGCTGTTGAATTCTTCACCAAGTCTGTGTTTTAGGTCCTGCCTCTTGATTTTGTTTAGATATGTGAAGTTGTGCATGCCTATAATATAATACTAATTTTGAGAATATAGTGTATTCCTGCATTTTTAAACAGCTTGGCTTCAGTGCAAAGAAATCCAGTGTGCATTTGTATTTCCTGTGCTGCTTAATGTGAGTGACATAAAGGAGCATTTATTATACATCCATTGTCAACATTGCTGTGTTTCTTAAAGCAACATAACAATGCTATTCACAGAATCATGGAATGGTCTGGGTTGGAAGAGACCTTAAAGATCATCTCATTCCAACCCCCCTGCCATCAGCAGGGACACCTTCTACTAAACCAGATTGCTCAAAGCTCCATCCAGCCTGGCCTTGGAACACTTCTTCAGACCCTGTGATCTATGTTATTCTGATTTTGATGCAGATCAAATATTCTTTTGACCACCTGGAAAAGATACCAAAAAAGGTGAATGGGTTGTGTTGTAGTTTGAAAGAAATGCTTATGCATGTGACTTGATACCAGCACAAGCTTGAAGGTCAGGACTTAAAACCAGTAAGCCTTTGGATACTTGAATTTTTGGCTCTTCAACTTGGAATGTTTAAGGGTTTGCATTTAAGAAACACGACCCAGAAGGTCAGAGCACACACGACACTATGGCAGCTGGGCCTCTAAAGCTTTCAGGTTGGACATCTTGGGTTGCCACTCACCTCCCAGTCATGACTGATAGAATTCAGTGCAAGTATCTGGATAAGTAAGACTACCAGGTGAAAGTTATGGCCCTGATCTACGGACACCTCAGTTTTGCAGACCTGATTTTGCATAGTGTAAGTGGTTGTCATGACAGTGAAACTGTAGGTTGAACCCTCAGCAGCTGTGGAGGTTGGAACAAGGTATGTTTTTTAAAGCAAGAAGAATAATCTTTTTCATTGTTCCAGTTTCTGCTGTTGCAAATTAGTGATGTTAATTTTAGCTGATAAACTTCTCCACTGTTTTACTGTCAAAACAAGGTAAATTGTCAACTACAGCAACCTTTGGTATAAATTTTGTTTTCTTATGCACATTCTCTATCTACCAATGTACTCATTTTAAGGTCCAATATAAAGTGAAGGAGATGCCTTGTAATCTTGTGGAAAAATGTTTAGCAGTTGAAAAACTTGCCAGTTTAAATGTTACAAAACCTCTGCATCAAAATGTTTTAGCAGTGTATTAGACCTGTGAAAATCTTCACATAGGCTTTACTTTCTGCTTACTGTCTAATTGTCAATAATTTAATCACTTGTGCCATATCATTTGCTGTCTTGTCTCTTGTTTTCTTGGTCAGCCTTTTAGATTCAATTTAGGCTTCAATAGTCTTTTCCATTCCATGTAGTTTCTAATGACTGTTTGCTTTATATACAGATTTATTATAATTTTACTTCTAGTTTACTTCACCAAGGTGTTCACGTGCAATTTAAATAGATTTAATATTTTAATAAGGAAAAAATATATAGGTGAATAAAATTTATTTGCTGTGAAAAACTCTAGGCACTTTTAAATGGTAAAGATATATAGCGTTATTTGTAAAAAGAAACTTTGTGCTTATTGCGACATCATTTTTTGTGCCAGAACTGTAAACTAGTTTTCATATTTTATATTTCTCAAAATAAATGGAGAATCAACAAAGCTTGTAACTTTTAACTTCTTTGAGAGGATAAAGAGTAATGGATAAATTCATTTGCAGGACTTTGGTGTGGTGGGGTTTTACTTTTACTTTTTTTTTAAACTATTTTTAGTTTGGGTTTTTTTTTTTTTTGAACCCGAGATTAGCTCACCAAGAGTCTCTTAATTTTTAGGACAGCAGAGGAGGCAACATGTCCTTCCATTTTAGCAGCTTAGGGCAGAGGTAAAAAAGGATGTAAAAAATTTGACTGAGCATTGTCAGCAGACCCAGTATCCTCAAACTATAATGAAAGTGAAATTGAATTGACAAAACCTGCCTTTGTTGCTGGAGGTACTGCCAGTATGTAACCAGTGCTTGTGCTCTCTGGAAGTGCTTTTGAGAGTCCTGAGGAGCCCAGCGATGCTCATTCTTCGTAGTGGAAAACAATAGAAGTAATAGTTAGGACAGATGTGTTTCTGTACCAGCACTGAGCACACAGCTGTGTAGAAAATCACTGTATTATACTGGAGTTCTGTGGTAGGAGCCACAGGCTTGAGTGTGTAGCTTGCCCCCAGCATAATAGTGAGGAAAAATAGTGCCAAGATACTTCTTCTCAAAGTAAATTCAAAATCACAAATGCTCAATCTTTTAAAGAGATATTTGTATTAAATTATCAGAGAGACAGAATCAAAGATGTATTGAAGAAAGCATATGCTGTCTAAAATGCATTGCTGATGTTAATCTTTTAATTCTCCAACATTCTAAGGTTTTAAATGGGAGAAGGCCATTTTGCAACTGGAGCTCCTGTTTTTTTCCACTTCAGTACAAGTAGCAGGCCAAACTAGATTTCTCCTCAATCTTTTTCATAATTTAGCCTTGGAAGTGAAATAAGATTGTCTTGTAGTTCCATTTAATTGGGTTTTTTCCTGCCCAGCCAGTACCAGGCATGCTGTAGAGTAGGTGTGTGCATGATTGTCTGTCAAAAGCTGGTAGTAAAAACCTCATGAAGTAATTTCCTTTCCTCTGTCATTGGAGGGAGACTTCAAAAGGTGTCTGTCTTGCCATGCCTCTCATCCTCTCTTTCACTACTTTCAACCTAAGTCGCTCTAAGTTGGTGGGAAAGGTTGACTGTGGGTGATGGTCTTGGTGGAAGGAAGATGGTAAGATTTTGGATGAAACTCGAACTGACGGAAGTGGAAAGTGAATTTTTTTTTTTTAAACCCAAAAGATGTGTATCTAATTTTTGGAGGGGGGTGGGGCAGAATCTAATTTGATGTGGGAGATTCATTTCATAGACTTGATTAGGAAGGTTTGCTGTTTGGAGAAACCTTGATGAACATAATACTAAGTCTCCTCTGTGGTAGAATACCACCAATCCAGTCTGAAATTTTCTTTATTTAAGTTTAAAACAAGTTTGTTTTAAGCTTGGAGGGGAATCCCCATGTTAATTTTAAACCTTTCCAGTTCTAACTCTGAAGTTGATTCTGTAGTTGTGCTGCTAGAGCAATGTAAATAAACATAAGGGGCAAGAGCAAAACATGCATGATTAATACATTCATGCTACCAAGCACCAAGAATCAACTCCCTTGACCAAAAAAAGGTGGTAAATCTATAAAGATAGCAGCTGTAAATAATGTATATAAAATTAAGTCTAAAATGAAATTTTTCATGACAAAGGTTACTTGCAGCTGAGGGGAACAGCCTTTCCAAAGCTAACAGGTGCTTCAAAGTTGTTAAAATGAAGTGTGTTGGTCTTTATTTCAAAGCATTTACTCAAAAAAAGTGTTTTCCCCCCTTTTTACTTTAAGAAATTTTAACAGGTGTAATAAAAGTTTATGAATCAGAGATGGATGTTCCTGTTTGTCTAGAAGACTGTTTCAATTGCCTATTCCTTTGTGCAGAACCCGCCTGCTTTGCTCCTCTGCAGTTTCATCTGGGAAGCTGGTGTCCAATCCTTTTGCCCAGAGCACAGAGACAGGGCATGGGCGGCACTGCCTCAGTCACAAGCACAGGTTGGTGTCTTGCGAAAGGCGACGAGACAGCTCAGCTCTTGTGAAGGCAAGACCCTATTGCCACATAGAGAAGTGCAAGAGTACTGCCACAAGAGATGTCAAAGAAAGAGATATCCAGGGCTGTTTGCCTCCTTCCAGTCCGAACCGTGGGGCCTATAGATCCTGACAAGAAGTGAAGATGGTTGAGGGATGAGTACAGTAAAAGGCGTCTGAAAGCCAGGAGCTGTTTGCTATGTTGGACCCTAAGGATATTATCCAAGTATCTCATCCAGCTGCCTTTCCTGATGAGCGCAATTAAACCCCATGAAATAAACCATAATTGCAGGTTGGGCATGCTTTAAGTGTTTTACAGTAGCATTATCTGCTCTGTAAGCGCTTCCAGCCAAAAAGGATCCACTCCACACCTGCAGCATTTGCAACACCAGCAGGATGAAAGGCAATCTCCCATTTCAGGAATGCACTCTGAAGAAGTGAGGAAGTTTGTTCAGGTTAGCCTGCCACCATCCTGGTTAAGAATGAGGAAAATATGCATCCAGGCTTCATGGGTAGTACCTTTTCCTATGCTTTTTTCATGCAGAAAACTGATTTTTAAAGCATTCTCTACAACAAACAGCTGCTTCCTAGGCAGCAATGCTGGGTCACACGTTGAGCAAACCAGCTGAGAGAGTCTAAGCAATAAATGGTGGCACCTGATAGCAGAGAGTTATGTGCATCCATGCAAGTCTCTACAAGAATATGGCTTTCAAGACATTTCATCCAGCTTGGCAGAGATACCATAGATCCGTGGGTACTGTGGTCTCACGGACAGAAACAAATATGAAAGGTCATGTAGTTGGTGGTTAGTTTTACTCAGGGTGAGTTAGAAAGCTCTTGCAGGACCAAAAGCAGGCAGAGTAAATGAATGCTGGCATGGGAGGGAGCAGCACTGAATGCCTGGAATTGAGGGAAGCAGGGCCATAGTGGGTGGCACAGACAGACAAATACCTCACCGGACACGGCACCAAAAAGCATTTACAGAGCCATTGGCTGTGTGAGGAGCGGCTTGGTGATTTGCATATGTGCAAATTCCCCACCTGTGGGCATGATCTTAGTGGACTCTTTCAGTAAAGCCAGTATTTAAGCTGTGCTACAACACCATAAGGCAATGGACCTCTTCTGATGTCATAGGTGTATTTACCTATATTTCTCTAAATGCTTCTTTCAGATCACTCTAGTTTACTGTTGTTGGGCTTTTTGGTTGGTGGTGATGGTGGTTTTGATTTTTTTTCCAGACTAGAAAACCCATGCAGATTTTCAGAATAAAATGTGGCAATGTCGTTGCTTACTGTGAGTGCAAACACACATCCTGCTTGTTTTGTGCCTGCTCAGGCAGGGCTTTAAACAATCATTTGCTTCTCTCTTATCTTCCCTGCACATGAGCCAAGAAAATGAAAGGGTGGCAGGTCACCAGGAACCAGGATTGCTGCTGAAAGCCTGTTGATGTTAACACAAAGGTACAGGGAAAAGGTGTCTGCTTTCAGGTTGTTGGGAAGTTTGGAGTTGCCA